TACCTGATGGAGTCATTCTTGACTCGCAGACACCCCGTGAGGTCCAGGTGCTCCAGCTCGGGGCAGCACTTGGCAATCTCCTCGACCGCCATGTCACCCACATTGGCATTGACAGCCAGCGACAGAGACTTGAGCCTGCTGCACTTCTGCACCAGGTAGCAGATAGCCTCGTCCTTCAGCTGGCGACAGGCCGTCAGGTCCACAGCCTCCAGTGCCTTGCAGTGGTCAGCCAGGCTGCGCAGGGACAGGCTGTCCACCCACTCGCAGTGAGCCAGGGAGAGCCGGCGCAGGTTGGGGCAGCTCAGCGAGATGGCCACCAGCGCGTGGCGGCTGAGCTGGGCGCAGCCCTTTAGCTGGATCTGGTGCAGGTGGTGGTTCTGCCCGATGACCGGGAGCAGCTCCCTGTCTGTCAGCCAGTCGGAGCAGTTCTGGAGCGCCAGCTGCTGCAGTACTTCGTTGTCCTTCAGCAGGTTAACAAAAGCAGCTCGCGGGATGGCAGGTCCGATCTGTGTGGGGAACTCAGGAAGAATGAGGCATCCCCCAGGGTTTCAGATCAGCCTGATGCTCATCAAATACTCTGTCCCCGCCTCTCTTCCACTGTGACAGCGGTGACCAAAGCCACCCCCTCTCCTCATCCCAGGCCAAACCCTGCCATCAGGCTCTCCTTCCCTCATGCCAAGGCTACTGCCACAAGCTAGAAGATGCTCTGGCTTCTCCACCCGCCATCATCACACCTGCATTCAAATACTCATGATGAACGCCACAGCTCCGCTCTCCAAAAACTCTTTGCTAGACCACTCTCTGTTCTCACAGAACAGCAGCTACTCCTGTCTTTCCAAGTCCCAGGCAGTGTCTCTCAGGGCCAGCACAAGCTTTCCCTGAAGACCAGGCACAGAGGTATCTCCCGTCAGACCCACCCTATTGCACAACCTCTGTGAGGACTGACAGGCCATGCCACTCAGGAGCTGGCCTGTGTTTCTGCCAGCCAGTGCCCCATAATGGCCTGGGTGGAGCTTCCAGGCTCACTCCTCCCAAGGCCTCTTGCTAAAGACACTGGCATTGCTGGGCCCTGAATCACCGCCTCTCCTCCCTAAGCCCATCTGTCCAGTCTGACACCCATTAACCCGGGCTCCTGAGCAGAAACCAGCCTCCTTGCCGGAGGTTTCTTCTCCCCACATAGTCAAATGCTCCCCTGCTAGCTCCAGAGCAGTAGGACATCTGTCTCCCCCAGCCTCAGAGCCATCCAATACCTGGCTTGAGTCAAAGCAGCGCATGTTGGCCAGGTACAGCTGGATGAGAGACTGGAACGACTTGCTGACCCTCTGCAGGCTCAGGAGCTGCTGCAATGGCAGATGACAGAGGATATGTGGAACCAAGATGTCTTCCCAGGGCAGGTCCAGGAGGCATCCCCTGGAGGGGGTCAAACTCATCATCAGACACCAGGGAGCCAGGCTACGCTGGGAGCCAGGCTAGATCACCTCACACCTACTGCCAGGTGCCTCTAGGAGGAACAGCCGGAAAGAAAGACTCAGCGACGTCTCCCACAGTCAGCCCACAGGGTAAAACCCTCCCCTTGGTTAGCCATCAGCGGGGCACGCACCTGCGTCACCTCCTCCCCAGCCTGGGACGTTCACTGCTTAGGCATCCGAGTCCACTTGCCTGCACTGCCCTCCAGGAGAGCTCGGGTGGGGCTTTCCACCAGCTGCTTAAGAAGTC